TGCACATTCATAATCTGATTTTTTTTTTTTTTCCTCGGCTCAGTTCATCAGAGTGACTTTGGCAGAAATGAGAGTATTCAATATGTCCTAAAATATCTCCCCTAGAAGGTAGTTAACCTCAGGTCTGCTTGCTCACCGTTCAGGGCTGATTGTGCCTATGTTGCTGCTTGCATACTCATTTTGAACCCATCCCATTACCTGCCTAACAAAGTGGGAGAGCAAAATATATTCAGCAGATTCATTACGGGAACCACCTTCTGCAGCACTGTAAATAAGTTGCCATTTGCTGTGCAGAGTGTGCATGCAGGGGAGACCGGGCGTCTGATGCTATCTTTTGAATTGATTAGGCTTTCATGAGCAGACACTTTTCTTGCACCCAATTTCCACTTGTCTGTCTAAAGGTGGAGACCAGTGTACGAGTTTGGCCAAAGGGCCATCTAAAGTTTAGCACATCAGATCTCACTGGTATGATCTGGCATAGATCTGAATTAATACATGAGGTAGAGAAAAAAATGTGTGTCTGCAGGGTCATTAAACAACTGTCATATTTCACCACAGTTGCATGACATTTTCCTGAACTGCCCTTGAACAGCTTTTGGGATCCCTCTGAATGGGAGAGTTGTATAAACAGCCCATCCATTTGAATTGTTGTTTTTCCTGAGGGAGTCATACATCCGAATTCCAGGTAACGACGGTGTTTCTGAGATTTAAACTTCTTTTGAAAGTATTCTTTTTCATCCAGACCGGAATTCTATTTTGTTCCACTTCAGTATAAGCCATGAACCAGGTGGGCTGAGCATTGGGAAAAGCGTTGTATATGCTTGTCTCGCTCTTACTCTTCCCCACGTGCCAACAGCCGCTGCCGAAGAGGCAGCACTGGGCTGGTCGGACCCTGCTCCGAATCACCGCAGCTGTTTTTACCCCACCTCTTCGTACCAGTGGGACCTGCCTTTGCTGGCTCATAAAAAAAGCCTCATAAAATTTTACTGTGGTGCCGTAGTCTGTGTCACAGTGGGGCACCAGGCAGCCAGGCATTGTGAAACAAGCTCGGTCCGAGAGGCAGCCCCGCCTGTGGCAAGCTGTTAAGGTTACAGCCGCTAGTGCTGGGGAAAAGCTTTTGCCTTCAAGAAGCTGGTGGCAATATTTGGCGCTAGTGGAGCTTTTTGATTTATAAGCCCCGTAGAATGCCAGAAGCAGAATTTCCCAGGTAAATCATCGATCTGTTGTGTTTACAGGGCTTGTAAGAAACCACGGATTTCAGTGTTATGCTCCCTCCCAGGGCAACTGTGTTGCATGGGAAATGGCATGCGGGTGCTTTGTTTTCTTCGCTAGTTTGTCGTTTTGTTCCTGTGAATTAATCCCTATCAACAAGTTGTAATAGAGGCTGTTTCTCAAGAGGAAGTATTTCTGCCATTCTCACTGATAAGTTTACTGTTAATCAATATTTGAACCTCCAGGGCTACGAAATCTGGTACTGCATCCTTGTTTCATCTTCTTTAATGGATGGATTATTTCTGTGTCAGCTGTGGATCTAAGTTTTCAAGTGACCATCTGTGGCAATTGGTGTTATTCAGTCAATGGTCTACAGCCCACAGGTGGTCCATAAAACATTGGAAGGGGACCTGTATAGCAGTGGGAGTTGGAAGCAAAAATCAAAGCAATCCTAAAGGCATACACAGTGACGCCCCACGGTTAGCAGCAAGCAGAGATGTGCTGGCTGTATGCAAAACCGTCCTGTAGGCGCAGATCAATAGGTACAGCATTGCCTGGGGATTTTTTTCCCCCCAAAGTTTCCTTGGCTCTTTAGTTATTATAGAAGCTTGAGAAACACTGCTGTAAGGGATGTATTGGACTTTTTTGAACGGTTTATTTTTACCGACATGACTGTTTCAACACGGGAAGGACGTTTTTACAGTTGCACATCGGGTTTGGAGTCAGCTGATTTGGAGGCTGGATGTGGGTAATCTGGCTCTTCTTGAGGTGTTGTGAAGGAAACTATCTAGCACAGATGCCTGCGGGTGGGCACCGGGGCCTGCTTGCGGACGGCAGGGTACAGCTGTCTCTGTTTCACCTGGCAAAACCACAAAGCTCCTTTGAGTGCGCAGGCAGCCCCTGAGGTGTGCTGAATGCACCGCCTGCCTGGAGGCAGAGGGCTGCCCCCGCGCGCGAGCAGCGGTGACGCTCCCGTGCCTTGTGCTTGGGTGCGCGGCTTGCACGAGCTTTGCAAAAAATGCCTTTGCAGGTTCGCCCTCCAAGAGAGGTGTCAAGACTGCCCTTACCAACAGTTACAGGTGGTTGTGAACCGCCTCCGCGGTTTTCCAGCGGCCACGAGGGCCCACTGATCACAGCGTGCCGCTGTGTGCAGCAGGGCTGCGTTCCTACCTGCTTTCCAAAAAGAATGTGTCGGCTCTCTAGCACACAGTCGTACTTGCAAATCACCTAGTTCCCATTACTTTGTAATTGCAAGGAGGTATTTCTGGAGGTGCTGTGCTTTTCAACTTTTGGTCTTTCTATCAGAATGTTTTCTTTTTTATATAAACCAAAAAATGATTACCATGTGGGCCTGTGATGCAATGTGCAGTATTGACAGCCTTGTGTATGAGAGGATTATGAGAAAAAAACAACACAGACCGTTGTTTCACAGTATTGCTATATTTTTCTTTTGTCTCTTAACTTTCACCTTTTGCTTGCATTCTAGTCACCGCGTTTTAAGCTTTTCTTCCCAATTGGATGGACTGGAAACTCTTTGCTGCCCCTCTGTTCTTTTTCTTCTTTCTTCCTTCTTTCTTTTTTATCTTTTGAACGGTGAGGTTTATACATACTCACAGGATTCCAAGAAGATGAGCTTTCTAAGCAAACAAACAGAAAACAACACTCCCCATCTTGTATATCCACAAGTGTCTTAATAAAAATGTGAGTGCTACCACAGCTCTGTGAGACTTACTCTCTGCTGACAGTTTAATTACTGACAAGAGCAAGATTTTTCACTTGAAATATAAGGGAAAAAACCCTCTGAAATACTCTCTGCTGGAATTTGAATTTGGCTCCCATCTGAAAAGTGGTATGAATAAGCCCAGGACATCTTGAAGTGGTACTTGTGGCACTTCTCAAAACATATCCGATGGGCAAGGCTGCTGAAGTGCTGTATGTGGTTAACTTCGAATTAAGATCAACAAGAATCCCCATCCAAAAAAATTTAATTATATAATATAACTGAATTTGTGAGAGGTTAGTTAACCATCACATAATACTTGCCAAAAACAAGATCTTGTGCATAAAAAGTTCAGAATAAGAGATGCAGGATAAGCAAAGCTTTGGGCACAGTTGGGATAGCCGAATTATATACCCTTTTCAACCTGATAAGCTCCTAATAAAAATAATTTTACAGACCACATGTTTTGAAGGGTGGTTCTTCACTTCACTGAGATAACTGGGGTTGTGAGACATCGTTTCAGTAAAATTGTTTGTCTTCAGAGGCAAGCAAGACCAGCAATGAAATGCACTTGCAAAACATGTTTTAGGAATTGAGATATATGCTGTCTTTTGCATTCATGACCAGCTGGAAAATAAGGCTTATTGCATACAAGAGAATTTTCCCAGGTTAGAGTTTTTAAGGTGAAATGAAAAAAGCATGGTATGGTTTCAAAGTATGGTTCCTTAGAAATGTTCAAGGGTATTTTTTATTGAATATAGTTCAAATAAAATAGCATGCTGCATTTAGTAAAACAAGAACACACTGAATTTGAATTTTTACACCATTTTTAACAACATTTGGGAAAAAGTTGGAATGCTTGCATTTGAGTAAAAATTTAAACAGGTGTTAATTAGTCATTTTTTTCAAAGTGCAGATGAAACCCCCAATCTCTTTAACTCATCCTTCAGCCATGAGGAATGAATTGAAGGTGTACTTTAGGGGGGTTATTCTGATTTGTGCTTGCAGTTGTATTGCATAGATAAATGGTGCCAGCATTTGAACTGCAGAAGCGTTTAAAACTGGTACAACTTTTTGTGGTGAAATTTTATACTTACAAAGCGAGCGACCTCTTACAAATACAGCCTTCCTGTGAGATTATTATTTTTGTGAGTTCTGCCTTTGGTTTTCATGTTTTACAAAACTATTAGCTTCAAATTTAATTCCTAGCTGAGTTACTCAAATGTTCTGAAGATAGCAGGAAGTCTGTGATATTCCTAGCCCAATACTACAGAGTAAGGGTGTAAAGATGAATTTAAAAATCTTCAAGTGGGATCAGAGCTCGGATGCTTGTCTTAAGGTTCATCTTTGAAATCCTGCAGTCATCCTTCATCCATGAGAGAATTTCCTCTTGTTGAGTGATAATTCTGAGTAGGACCATTAATTTTGGCTTGCAGTTGCAGGCAATTAATCAAATAGGCAAGAAAAAAGTTAAATTATTATTGTTTGCAAGCTTTAACTCTCTTGGGTGCAAACACAGACGAAATGCTGACGCTCTTGTGTACTGACTCAGGCTTTCATCTCTTCCTGTGTCTTGGCTTGAATTTTCTGTGGCGTATCTAGATGTACACTTTCCTGTTCGTCTTCCCAGGCTCTGGCCAACCTCAGTGCCTTGTGACCATCTTTTTCTACTACCCTGAATGCACCAAAGGCTAAACTGGGCCCCATCCTTCACTGCACTGGAGGGACTGTGGGTATGTTAGGGGCCGATGGAGTACTGTGGTGCACAGGAATATCCTGGGTTTGGAGAAATTACGCAACATCTTCTATTACATCCCCATCCACAACCTGCTTTTGTAACTCTCTGTATATGTCCCCCCACTCTGCTGAGGTGCTCTGTGTGCTGCTGTCTCCTTCCTTTCCCTCCAGAAGAGACACAACACTTAAAAGAAAACTTGACAATCAATAATTTTGAGTAATTTATGAGACTGAGAATCAGGAAGAGGGGTGGCAGTTCACAGCCTTACTTCAGTGTGCTGCATTCACCTCTTGGTGCTAAATGTCTCACGAAGGCTTTCTGTCCTTCCAGGTTTTCACAGGGAACAGCAATGCCGACAGTGTGGTTCACCACAAACTTCTGCACTCCATGAAAGCCCGCTTCTTGCGCTTCGTCCCTCTGAAGTGGAATGTCGGTGGGCGGATAGGACTGAGAGTTGAGGTCTTCGGCTGCTCCTATAGTAAGTGGCTACATCTTAACCCACATTTTCTCAAAGACCTTTTTGTTGATGCCGTCAGTGCTGTGGGATGGGTTCAGCATGAGTTTTATGAGTTAAAATGTAATGTGAAATACGTAGTCATCATTGTTTTTTCAGAAGTTGTCCTTGCCTTTCTGCTCAGAGATGTGATGGCCCATCTAGGTCAGCTGGTGAAGCTTTCTCAGAGCTGAGCCCACCACAGACTGATTTGCTGGTTCTTGCAAGTCCAAGGCCGTCAGATGGTGCAAAACTCCCACCCCGCTGGAGGGCACAGAGCTACTTGGGATCTTTTGTAGGGCTTTATTTAGGAAAGGTACCACCTTTTTCTTAAATAGTTCATTTTTTTTTTAAGACAACTTGTTGAAGAAAGTGCTGTGGATTGTTCAGCTAGTATTTCTATTTAAGTGTGATGACTTTATAGCTCCAGAAAGCAGAGGACTCATCTGCTGCTTTAACTGTTTCTGCATGGGTGTTTTCTTTGGCACTCTTCTCCATAACACGTGGTGATGATACTCTAAGACACCGTCTGCAGCACTTTGTCACATGGGCTTTGGAGCAGCCTATAAACATTTGTTGGCTTTGGGACATTTCAGCCACATAGTTATCTTGGTGTACTGCTGCAGATATATGACCTATCAGCACAGAAGAGTGCGAACATAAAGAAAAAGGACCAGTGTTGCTCCCACACACAAAACGAAAACAAGTCCACAAATGAAACACAAGTCTGGTATTTGTTTCTCAGGTGGCTGTGGGTTTATTTCTGAAATGGTCAAGTGTGACTTGAGACAATGCTGAAGACAGGTGAGATTTTGCTGGGGAGAGTTCAGGGGACTAACAGCATTTTACTAGTAAATTCAATGTGGTGTGGCACAAGTCACCATCATGTGACACTACAGTACTTGTACATCTCCCCATTTAGATTAGATCCTAATCTGCTCCTGCTGGGTGCAGGAAAAGGGTTGCAAGATAAAAAGTGGAAACCCCCCTATTTGGGAGACTTCTTAAATTCATTTGAGCAGAATCAAAGAGCAAAGTTTCTTAAATCTTTTTATTCACACGATCCCTTTGAAGATAGACACAGCTCCCGGACTCTTAGTGGCCTCATCACTACACTCGGGTGTTAGGACTGATTCACATGGTTTCACAGGAAGATCGTTGTTATGGTCTGTGTGTAGATCTATGTGTAGATCTAAGAGATCCATTCAACTTTTTTTAAATGCTGCTTCTCCCCCTACTTTGATGTTCAGGCACTGTGGACTATCATTCATTTAAGTACAGACCTGCAACAGCCTGGTCTGGATGGATAGTCACTAGGGCAAGAGGTCTTTTCCAGCCCTACCAGTAGACATGGAAACTGAAACCTATAAATCAAAACCAACTGCCCTTGATAGCTGCTTTGGAATGGTGTTATCTCATCTGTTATCAAAGAGCTTTCTTTTGTTAATGATGACCAAACCTCTGCAGTGAAGAGTATAGTCCAAACAGACGTGCAACAAACAGAATTTGAACTGAAGGTTGAAACTTTTGTAGCTGAATGTGTTTTGGTGCTGCTCCATGTGAAATACTACATGGGCGCTATTTTCATGTCAAATTGTGGTTGTATCTTCTATGATACGAAGAAGACTTCAGAGTCACTTGCAGGTTGAGTTTCCTTCCACTGACATCATCTAAGTCTTCATCTTTGTCCCATATCCTGCAGTTACAGGAAATAAAAATGGTTGTGCAGAATTAAGGTATGAGACTGAAGCAAGCCAGAAAAGAAATAAAGGGATTCATAAAAGTTTTACAAACTGTTGAAATATTCGTTCCGTTTATATAAATGTGCCATTCAAATTTCTCTTTGGCAAATTGCATATGCCAAGCAATACCTGTCTACAAGTTTTGCTTATATAATTTCACAGTCTTGGCTACTCCTAACCCAGGCACTGTACGAAAGATGTTTGATCACTTATAAAATGTCATCTTTACTGTTATACTGACAGAATATCTGCAGCAGATCCTGAGCTGGTGTACACCTACATAACTGCATTTTGTAATGTTTGACAGCATACAGACTCATCCATCATGTTCAATTCCAGCACAAGAAATATATTAATAATTTGAAAAAAATTTTTAAAAATGACAAAAGAAAAATCACTAGAGACAGGCTGTTGGACAGGCCAGGAAGGCAACGGAGCTAGAAGAACAACAAATGTCCCAAACGTGCACCATCTCTAAGAGATGACTTTTCATGCAAGGGTCTGTGTGTATGTGAAAGAAGGGATGTGAGGCTGGGAGTAGGAGCAACATTATAGTCACCTGTACCAAAGGCTTCAGCTGATATAAATTAATCTGTAAAAGTCTAATTCCCAGTTATGCCCGATCCTCTTTAAGCTGTTGGAATGACTTAAGGGCTTCTATAGGTAAACAAACACAGAGTATTTGATCTTAAGTCCACTGAAGTTGAAGGAAGGATTTTCACCAGCATTTTAGCTTTGGATCCAGTCCTGAAGTATATGATAGAAAGAGAATATGTGCATGGGAACACATATGAACCAAATCCTGCACAAATGTACATGAGTGACTACGGGGTCATTTCTACCTCTTAGCCTACTTGTAGAAGCAGGTTGAAATTCAGATGATTCTGGACCACTGGCTGCCCATTCCACCTTTCAGGTAAATGTTGCCCCTGGAAGCGCAGCACCTGATCTGAAAAGAGAGTTGCTTTACATTGATATCTGGGGCAGAAAACTGCAGAAGTAAAGTTTTCTTTTACAGGCAAGCTGTGAGCAGCAGCATTCATTGGTCGGCTGAAACAAAAGTCTGGGGACACTGACAGCTTAGGCCATCTGAATTTCATGTGCTGCTGCGCATCTGTTAAAACCCTGGGCCTACTGCCAAACATGCAGCTGAGCACCTTGCTGTGATACACCAGGGCGTGCAAAATAGCCTGTAGTTCCTTGGATGGTCTCTGCTTACATCAGCTCCTTTTTGACCTTGCATATTTGAGCAGAAGATGACAGCTGTAGGAGAGGCTTGTGGCTTTGCTGCTGCTTACACATTTTTGTGGTGGCAAAGTTAGGTGAATGTGACACTCTTGTGCCAGCGCAAGACACTGATCTCTCGTTTTTGGAGTATGACTGTCCTGTGCAGCATACTCTGCTGAAGAGGTCCCGGGAACGCAACCTTGTGCTAACTTTTGGCAAATGCAGCTTTCAGTGATGACTGTTTAGTAGGGGGCATGTGGAAGGCATCAGGTGTTGTAGTCACCAAACACTCTGCCAGGACACAGTAACAAAAAATACTGAAAAATCACATTAGACGTTAACTGCTATGTGCAGTGGATGCCAAAGTGGCTAACTGAACATGTGATTGACTGTGCTGCTGAATGGCACTCTGTTTTTTATTGTTCCTGCTAGAAGTAATTTACTACTATGAATTTATCCCAAAAACTTCTCTGTCAAACAAGAGAGCTTTCTTCTTTTTTTTTTTTTTTTTTTCCTTCCCCCCCCCCTTTCTTGTCACCCTCTAATTGGCTGCCAGTTGACATTGGTATTTTGGAACATAAAAACTTGTTTTTAACAGTAAAGCTGTTTCAGATACGTGGGTGTGTTTGACCCTGTCCCATACAGATCAAAGTTCCTGTGCAACAACGCACTCCAAGGCCTTCAATTCAGCTGGAATTCACAGATGACAAATGCTAATTGTTGTTTACTTTCTTACACAGAAAGTATGGTTTCAAATGAAAATTAATTACATTTATTTGAAATTCCTGTAAAGATTCCATCTCACATCCTCAAAGTAGGTACTGAAACAGGAAGGAGATAATCTTGATCTGAAAACACAGGTTGATGTTTCCTGTTCAGTAAAGGATTTATGATGAGTTAAACGGAAATTTCCATGCAGAGGTATGTGTAAGCTCTCACTGTCCCTTTGCAGCAGTGGCTCCAGAAGCAGTGTGATTGTAACAGATAACCAGAGCTGCAACAGAGGATGTGTTCAGACAAATGGCAAGGCAATTGCTTTTGATGCTGGGGGCGGTGAGGGGGGAATTGGGTATATTATCTTTATAATTGGGTATATCTTTATACTTGGGAAAAGTCTTGTTAGCTTAGTGCAGGAAAAAAATCTGCTGACACAATTGCTTTTATAGGATAAGATTTATAGCTGCATTGAAGATGCTGATTGTATTCTGCAACTGGTTAACAGCCCAAAATGCATCAGCAGAATCAGGTGTATGTGCAGTTAACAGGCTGGGAAACCACAGGAGAAACAATGATAGGGTGTGAGACAGGGCGTCTTCTGCTTTTGAGAGCTGAGTTCTTCATCTGCAGTTCAGGACTCTGATTTCTCATCTCTTGCTGTCATTGCTTCAGGGACCATGATCTGACATTGTGCTTTTTGATTAAATGATAGTTTTACTAGATTTTTTTTTCTCTCTCTTCCCCCCCTCCCCCCCCATCTTCATCCATCCTCTCCTTTGTCTTCCTATGAGATAGAAAAGAATGCATTGCAAAGAACCACTTAATGTCTGATGGTCATTGACCCGTAGTGTTTGTAACCAACTGCATAAATAAATACCCAAATGATTGCTTAACGGGAGGCAGACATAGATTTGTGATAGGGATAAAGCTGCATAGCAGAACAGCCACCTCTGAAGTGCTCATCCACATTCATCCCTTGGATTGCATGTCTGAGACGGGTATGGAGCGGGAAGTCAGATTGCTTTAGACTCACTCAAGCCAGTAAGGCATGACTGGCCAGGAGAGACATCTGTTCAGACCAGGAACAGTCCTCCTCCCTTCTGCAGGGAGTTAAAGCTTCTGTTCATTGATGCAAATGCAAGACCAAAAGTTCCTGTCTCAAATTGCAACTGTTCCTAGAGGATATTTTTGTATTCTGGAATAACTTTGCCAAGTGCTTACTTTTTCCAACATCACTAGGAGGACCGTTTTTGTATGTATGTATGTATATCCTCTCCGCTGCCAGAAGCAGATTGCTGCACAAGTAAACTCCATGCTCTCGCGTTGCTCCCAGCCTGGCTCTTCTCAGCATAGCTGGTCCCACAGGTTGAGCCCTGTGGTCACATGCTCCCTTTTTAAAAAAATAAAAAATGCTGAATTAACGCTTCAACTTACTGCCTGTGTTTCCACCTGCTCCCAAGTGACTTTAATGTTTGGATCAGTGTTGAGAAAGGAAATTCAAATGGAATGACATAACCAGCACCCCTGGGGCCCGAACCTCTACTGAATTTCAGAAAATCTTGATGAATGACTTCTGTTTTATGGGAACTTCTTCACCTGTGAGCAGGAGTACGTATGTACTCCTGCACTCGGCACTGGTGAGGCCACACCTCAAATACTGTGTTCAGCTTCTGGCCCCTCACTACAAGAAGGACATTGAGGTGCTGGAGCGTGTCCAGAGAAGGGCAACGAAGCTGGTGAAGGATTTAGAGAACAAGTCCTATGAGGAGCGGCTGAGGGAACTGAGGTTGTTTAGTCTGGAGAAGAGGAGGCTCAAGGGAGACCTCATCGCTCTCTATAACTACCTGAAAGGAGGTTGTAGCAAGGTGGGGGTCGGTCTCTTCTCCCAAGTAAGAAGCGATAGGATGAGAGGAAATGGCCTCAAGTTGTGCCAGGGGAGGTTTAGATTGGATATTAGGAAAAAGTTCTTCCCCGAAAGGGTTATCAAGCCTTGGAACAGGCTGCCTAGGGAAGTGGTTGAGTCACCATCCCTGGAGGTATTTAAAAGATGTGTAGATGTGGCACTCAGGGACATGGCTTAGTCGTGGACTTGGCAGTATTAGGTTTATGGTTGGACTCAATTATCTTAAATGTCTTTTCCAACCTAAATAATCCTGTGATTCTGTATGTATTTACAGCAGAGGTATCTGTTTGAATTGTTGGTCAGTGGAGAGTAACATGAAAGAAGCATCTTTTGCCTGACCTTGATTCTGATGAGTTTCGTAGCCTTGTTGTTGAGGACAGTGGAGAAAAGTACCCAGACTGAGTAAAGTCTCTCTTCAGGCAGTGTAAGTAAACCAGCAGTCAGTGCAGAATGAAACCACATGTTGTGTTTTAGTTTGTTAGTCCTGCAGGTTTTCTGAGACTTAGAACATTTCTGATCCTTGTTCTCTTGCTGCAAGTGGGTTATGGCCTTACATGGACTAAATAAACACTAAGCAAACAAGCTGGTTTTCTGGAGTGACTGTATTAGAATTGTGCTGTATCTTTCAGTTTCTAACAGGAAGCCAATGATTTGTTGTCATGCAAACTGCCACTAATGACTTTTGGCTGCCACTGTTAGCATTTATTTGACATATTCCCATTTCATTCAGGGCTATTTATTGGCCACTGTACTCACAACCCATAATTAGTGAAGCAGAACTTTTAAGAAACAGGTTTTCCTTTGTGTTATATGCTGTAAATGTCAGTGGTAGAGCTCTTCAAGAAATTGTGTTATGCTGTGGCTTAGTGGAAAGTTAAGAACAAGGACTGAAGTGTGAATTCAGACTCATTGGAGGCTTGGATCTTAAGAAGAAGAAGAAAAATGGACCGCGATTATGGAAACATTGAATCAGTGCTCTCTTACAGTAGCTTTGTTTTTGAGAGCTAGGAGGAAAATCAACTTTAACTGCAAAATGCACTGGAAATCAAAGACTGTAACTTCTTTATAAGCTATTTCCTAATTCCTGCCTGTGTTAAAATGAAACTATTTTTATGATACACTTGCAATTTACGTTAAACAAATTAAAGTATTTAATGTAGCTAGGGGAAATTCATAAGAACTAAACTATGAATTTAATTCCCGTTATAGAAACTGGCAGTCAGGTGTCAATAAACAGAAATCAGCAATTCTGCAGGAGCTGTTTCTGAACACCTAATTCAGAAGTAAAAAACACTAAAAGCAGATGGCGTGAATACTTTTGTATTCATGATACTTCCTAAACTAGCAACAGTTCCACATATGATGCTAAACAACATGTCATAATTCTGACATCACAGATAAGAAGTTGGTCTTAATTTATTCTGGAGTGAATTTTTTCCCAGGATTGAATTTCTTTGTGGTTTTATTCTCATAAGAAATAATCAATTGCCTTCTGATTTGGAATGGAATCAGTTTTGGAGTGACAGAATTTCGCATCAAATTTAAATTTTGAGCTCCCTGCAAGTTTGTAAGTATGCCAACAAACTTCTGTACAAACTGTCATACTGACATGCAGAAGTTATCGATGGTAGTTTCCATGGCAACAAATCATTAACAGGTCTTTTATTTTCTAAGCTTATAATAGTTTTTAAATGCAAACCTCTTTAAATTTTGGTCCAGTTTAAAAAAAAAAAAAAAAAAAGAGGAAAAAAAATCCCAATCCCTATTATTTCTGTTTTTAGAAAGGAGCAAATGAAACTACGAATAACGCTCAAAAAGATAGAAGAACTCTCAAGGGAGCTTAGGTGACTTAAATCACCAACTTTAATCACAATGCAGTTGCTGACCTGCAATTCTCGATAGTTTTGCATATGGACCTTTCAGTTATTTTTCAAAAGAAAATAGAAAACTGATAGCTTTGGATTATCGTTAAAACATGTGGTTTGCAAGCAAAGTCTATGCTCTTTCTTCTTGGTTACTATGAAGGTATTTATTTTCATGCACGTATCCCAGTAGCTGTGTAGCATAGGAAACCCTTGTTCAGATTCTTCATCGTCTGGTGTTCTTGATTTTTAATATTTTTCTTAACAACAGGAAATACCAATTGACAGATTTATTATTTACAAGTAGGTATTTTATCCATAATTTGTGCCAAATTGTATTTGGATAGAAATTGGAATTGAATTTACATATGTCAGTCAGATGTTTGAATACAATGTATTAGTTAAAAGTATTTAAAGCTACCTGAAATGTTCTGGTTATATATATGTGTTAAAAAAAAAAAAAAATTAAAAATACATTTTGCTTAAAATACCATTTTATAAAGCAAAGAGAATACTGCAGGCTGCTGCTGCCAAAGGAAATATTAATTGCAATTGAAGAATTGAAAGATTGTTTCCCATCACAGTGATTGGGTTTTAGAGGCTGGCTGAAGGGGAAAATATGTTTCTAACAGGATTTTCAAAGGTGTATAATCAGTTTAGATGCCCAGTTCCCATGAATCCCTTCAAAAGCTTTTTGAATTGATATTTGACTATTCCTGCCAGCCTAGTCAATTTACATGCAGAAACATGGTTGATAAATGCCCATCACAAACAAGCAGCCAATCCTCAGAGGCTAAGATGATGCTTATTTGGATACAAAGGTGGATGGAGGCATGGCCGACATGCAGAAACAGCCCCACAGATGCTTGTGAAACTGCAAAAAGTGGAGTGAGAACTGAAGTGTTCAAAGTAATGAATAACATCCTGGGTGTGTTTGAGACAAAGAGCAAATGTGGTGAGGGATGTTCTGGAGATCTGAATATGATGGAAGGCTGCTCTAAAAAGTCGAGTGAGAAAGCAGTCTTGCATGAGAGAGGAGGACAAGTGCCGAGGAGTTCTGGTTTTATCCTAGCGTTCCCTTTCCCCAGACAGAGGGAGAGGATTGGAAATGGGTGAAATGTGGTTGCCCAGATGCCATGTGCGTCCTGTGGATCTATGCTTCTGAGAACACCTGGCTCTAAGTGATATTTTAAAAGATCCTAAAAAAACATGGTCCTTCTCCTGATGCTGCCCCTCCTCTTCATTTTGCCATCTTCTTTCTCCCAGAGTCAGATATTGCAGACTTCGATGGCAGAAGTTCACTCCTCTACAGGTTCAATCAGAAGCTTATGAGCACATTCAAAGATGTGGTTTCCTTGAAGTTCAAGAGCATGCAGGGGGATGGAGTCTTATTCCATGGAGAAGGACAGCGTGGAGACTACATTACTTTGGAACTGCAGAAAGGGAAGCTCTCCTTGCGCATCAACCTGGGTAAGGGTAATTAGGATTATTAGTTCACATATTACTGTAACAAGGATTGTCTTGGTTTGCTTTTTATAAATCTATTGTTTATATTAGGCAGTATCTAGAAAATCCAGCTGAGATCAACAAAACATGCTGTGTGCCTCAGACAGCTCACAGCTTAAATACTGGTTAGAGAAGGTGGGAGGGGAAGCAAAAGAGAATAGACTTGACTGATGTCATGCAGGACATGATAGCTGAGCCAAGAAGAGACTCGGCTCTTCTAACCAGTGCTGACCAAGCTGAGCTGCTCAATGACTACTTCTGAAGTTTTGACCTTTGCTTGTGTTTCAAGCAGTGATTTTTTAAAAAGTTCTGTTTCTTCCCCTTCCTCCTTTTTTATTTTTATTGTTATTATTTTTAAGAATAACATTCCAAGGAAGTTTGGTTTGGAGTGCAAAAGGTTTATTTTTGGTTTGTGTCTTATTTTTTCTATTCTGTGATCAGAACTGATCTGAGAATACAGAATTTAAATGAAAACATTCTGGTCAAAACATTGTGCACACTGGTATTGCTTTGCTTCTGGAGATGGTTTCAGCTGAAAACTGTTAATATCTGGAAGGTCATCACTGTGTGATCATGTTGGATCAGAGGGACAGATGAAAGGCTATCTTAATTTCTTTCTGTAGAAGGATGCTTGTTTTTCCCTGGTGAATACACTAAAGCACTTTGGTAATGGCAGGAGCTACTGTAGGAGTGATCATACCCCCTCTCCCAGCCTTACTGCAAAATCTTCATTAGCTTCATCTGTGGGTGACCCGTGGTACTGGCCTCAGCAGTCCCTGCTGACTCATGTTTCTCATACTGAGGGGTTTGAGTTGGGCAGAAGTTTCCATGCCTGCATTGCTGTACTTTGGTCAGCGCAGGAGCTGCACTTACCCTGTTTGGGTATTGTACGTGGTCTCAAAACCTCAGTGGCCCATCCAGATGGATGGCTGAAACAAAACCCTCTGTTAGGGTGTGGGCAAGGAGGGGAGGGAATTAAGGTCCAAGTTTTTCACTGCCACTCTCAATGACTTTGAAGAATAAAGTAATCTGAACCATTTGCAGTTCATGTACATGGTGCTTAGACTGTCAAGGCTAGTTTTAATAAAAATGGGAGCTGTAGCATTTAATAACGTATAGTATTGGCAGGGGCAGATGTCAGACTAGCAATTCCAGGACACTTTAAGAAGTTTGTCTAGAACAGATAAAGCAGGCAACGGTGCAGTATCTTAGTCCCTTGTTTATGACTTGAGGAATTAAAAGAAATCAACTAGTGGGAGCAAACTGGAAGTACTAAAACAGAATTCATAGGTAATTCTTTCTGCATTTTTCCCCTCATGCTTAATTATGTTTGTTTTAAATGTCAGTAACAATTTTCCACAGCTCTTGGATTTCATTTTTACATAAGCTCATTAATTGTTTAGTCTCCGACTAGTATTTTCTTTCTTTCTTTCTTTTTATTTATTTAGTTCATCAAAGAGTGGAAATGATAATGGAGCATTTTTCTGATTTGGTATTTGGATGTTACTTGGACCAAGTATCTACATCCTGAGCCTCTGAATGTGGGATTCTTTGACTCCATTGATTTGTCCTCCTCTTACAAATGTTTCTTACATAATAAGGATAAGAATATAGTATAGTTAAATACATTATGTTACTTCTTCTAGAGGAGGTGCTGTTGTGAATATACAGTCTGAGATAAGAGGGTTTTTTTTCTTTCAGCAGTAGCCCCAAATGTGCAGATTTTAGCCATTTCAAGTCCTCTGTGTGCATTCATATGTCATGGGCAAGGGTTTTGATGTCTGCTCTTGAATCTGCTTGCACCTTGCCTGACAGTTTTGGAGCATGTGTTCTCTCCATTCTGCTGGAATATAAAAAAGGACACATACTCCCTTTCAATGAGAGGCTCTGAAGTGTTCAGATGTGTAGTCAGCTGGAAAACAGAAGAGTATTTGAAATCACCAGGGCTAGAGCCTAAATATTTTTGTGACTCTTGATCTAAACTTTTGGAGATCTAGGCCAGGTTTAAGAATCTTTTTGAGCTGAAGAAAACACATGCATTCATGTTGCTTCACGGACTTGTGGCTTTTTTTCTCCGAAAATGGACACATGCAATTTTCTTGTTAAAATACAAAAAACACAATGGAAACTGAAGTGTCGGGAGTGGCCTGTTAATGTGAATAGACAGGAGATTTTGGTGCAACGTGAAGGGAGCTCCTAAAACACCAGCGCCTCAAATGCATAGCAGAACCAAGGGCACAGGCAGAGTGGCAATCCCCTGTCTGCTGCGATGTGTGGGTGCAGCATTGGGAAAACCTCCTGGTTTATTACAAGAATTTCAGGGGAAAAAAACGTGTGTATGTGTGCATGTGCGTATACACACATATATGAATAAGAGGCTCAAAGAATCTAAGGCAAGCTTTGACAAGGGTCTGTTTCTGACGGGCAGAGCTCCAGTTTGCATCTAGGAGCACTGCTCTGTGCTCCCCTTGAGTCCCCATGATTCAGTTAAGGGCCTGGAGGTAACTCTGGTGTCTTCTGCCTGTCTCTGCCCCTGCAGGGGACTCCAACCTGCACTTCAGTAACAGCCACATGTCCGTCACCCTGGGCAGCCTCCTGGATGACCAGCACTGGCACTCGGTTCTCATAGAGCGCTTCAACAAGCAAGTGAACTTCACGGTGGACAAGCACACCCAGCATTTCCGAACGAAGGGGGATTCAGATCACTTGGATATTGATTATGAGGTGTGTGAAGCCCTTTAGGTTATAACCTGGGAGGTGAGGATGAATTGGTATAAAATGAATGTGGTGGAAAACAACAACCCTATGAGCTGTTTCTTTCCAGCAAAGATCTTTTCTTTAATATTTCCTTCCTAGAGAGCTCCTTTCATAGTTAACAAACATAGGCTATGTCAGAGCAACTCTATATACGACAGTCTCAGAAAATGGCCAGTTTCTGGGCAAATATGCATTGGATTATGCTTACACTTCAAAGTACGGCAGACTTTGAGCTAAACTAAAAGGTATAGCCTGGGTTCTAGTCAAATCTTCAGGGAACAACCACGCTTAGCTGTAGGGAGATGTGCTGTGTCATCATCTCCAATATGATTTTAATGGGATCATTGTGCATCATTCCTGCATCTGATTGACATGACCGTGGGGATACCAACTCTGAATTGTGCCTCTATCCAGCCACCACTTGCTCGGATTACAGCTCTTCACATAAAGATGAGCAGGTAAAGACCATTGTCTTCCCACTACGAATGGAAGACCCTGAGCACAACTGTCAAGACAGTCAAGCTCTGACCCAGGTCCCTTCACATCTGGGGTTGTGATGCAGAGCATCCTGGTCTAGGGAGCTAGAGCAGCTCAGCCAAGGAAGGACAGAGCAGAGGAAACATCCTGCCTGCCCATAAAACCCGAGGCTGGTGTGCTCCCCTGTGATGAGGCCAAGGTGTGGCAGAGTGCAGTTTATATCACTCCAGCAGTTCAGCGCTTATGGCTGATAGTAAAAAATACCTTAAAAAACCTCTTATATCATTATATCGATATGCAAGGCAGCTCCTCATCCGTTCCCCCACCAATGCACACCTGTGTGCAAGTTACCTGTGTTCATTTTTATCCCCACGCGCTTGTCTACCGAGTTTTGCTAGCCCACAAGGCACAGGGTCATGCTTACACAGTCAGAGCCATCACCCTGTCTGGATGCGTTGAGCTGGCATGGTTCATTGCTTAAGAGACCACAAGTTTCCCCTCTGCACTTTGGATTCATTTCTCCAGAAAGGATCAATTCCCAGCACACCCAAGGGACAAAAGCAGACAGCTCGGCAGAGGCAGGTGACTGCTCTCTGCTCCTCTCATGTTCCAGCTGAAATTCCCTTCTTTGCATTTCACAAAGCAGGGTGGCGAGAGTGGTACCTGTCTCCTGGCACTGCTGTAGCAAGTCACGAGCACATTTAGTAGGGACAGCACATTTGAGCAGTGAGATCCTGGAACAGCTTCAGACTGAACTAGCAAGGGCCAAGGCTGTAACTACTTTTAAGACAGGGTTGAGAAAAGCCAAGCGATTGAGCCATCAGCTCTCCTAATTTCAAAGTAATAAAATTCCTTGCTTCCTGCTACGAGTTGATGCCAATTAGGGAAAACTCAGGCTCCAATGTCATTTGCAGAACATTTTTCCAGATATTCCAAAATAGGGAACATAGTAGAGAACATCTTCAGCTGGTGTAAATCAGCATCACCACTGACCTCTGTGGCACTTGGTCCTGGCCCCTGGTGATTAGTTTTTCACACAATGTGTTTTCTTTCCATTTGCACTGGACAATCTTTCAGTCGAACATTACAGCAATACAGCCTACTGAAAGTTTATCTCGGCACACTTTAGGGCTTAAAGGCCTTCCTGAGGGTAATACAACCATTAGTTTGGTAATTAAAATTATTACCAATCACAAAGGAAACTGTTTTCTTAATAATGCAGTGGTATAATTGACATTGATTTTTCTGCTGGTTTTGAAACCCAGTGCAGAGTCCTTAAGCAGGAGACTTAAAGAATAGAACATGAAAGAAGGAAAGTCTGGTGTTTTAAGGAAGAACTAATGATTCTCACTGGAAAAAAACGTTGCTACCACGTAAGCCCTGATGCCAATAACAAACCTGCAAGTGATGTAAAGTAGCAGTCTGTCCACTCTTTATTTCTCTGAAGTGATCAATTAATACAACTGAGGTGCAAGTTCATTAAGGACTTGTTTTCAAAGAAGTGCTTTCAAGGTTATCCAGGGAGGCTTCATTTGCTTATGTATCCCAGCTTGTTAGGTGGAGTGGGAGGAAGAATAACCCCCACGTTTCCCTTTATTTTTGTAATAATGAGCTGAGGCGAGCCGTTAGAAGTTGTGACAGAGGACTAAGGCTGACCAGGTTCCAGCAGCCGTCAGCGCGTAAGCGGTGCCGCGCAGCAGTGCATGCCCTTGCTGCAGTGGGTGCAGCAGGGTTGCAGCACAGCTCCTGATGCGCTGGAAACACTGTGAAGTGTGGTGGCTGCAGGATTCCCACCTGCGTTATATCACTCACGATGCTACTGGATGTGATGGGAAAAATTAATAAAACCCCAGCGGTACTACCAGTAAGACTTTGCCAAAAAGGCCAGTGAAGCTAATTAGAAATGAGCTGTGTCATCTGGAAAATTAAAACAGGATTATCGGAAGTTTTTTGGGTTGTGGGGTTTGGTTTTTTGGGGTTTTTTGTTTGTTTGTTTGTTTTTCTTTCTTTATTTTCTTGGGAATCCAAAGTAATTATGCTCCAAGGATTTTGGAAGCTTTATTTTCTTAGGCTCTTCGTCCTCCCAGGGCTTTCGGCCCTCCAGTTAAGTGATAAATTGTAATCTGCACAATACTAACATCTTCCAGTACTCAGACAACAGCACAGCAGAAGTTTTGTTTAAATGCGTAACCTGCAGAACTTCTCCGTTACACTGCTCAGTCCCAAATACCACGTGCGAGTATTGTAAAGACCAAACCACAGCGAAATTTAGGGAAACGATTGCAAGGTGCAAATGGGGTACTTTGTGTGTGTGATACTACCCTCCACTAGCTGAAACCAGAACTGTTCAGATACACGCTTGGTGGAAAGGGGTGACTCCAGCTCTCAGGCAAACCCAGTGCTCTGTGGGCGGGAAGAGTTTATTCCCCCGTTGCTCAGGGGTTCCTGGCCACCGTGGCCTGCTGCTGGGTGGCCCCAGGCCAGTGGGGGCTGTGGGTTGGAGACCATTTGAATGTTACCTTGTGCATTGGGTGTTCCTGGGTGGGGGCCTGGTAGTACTAGGTTGCTGAAGTGGTGTGTCAAGGTACTTAAAAGCTGTTCCCAAATTAGTGAGCTGTCTGCGGTGGCATCATTTCTCCAACAGCTATAATGCTATGCAGCCTGTAATTCCCCTGTTGGGCAGCCAGGCCCTACTTCATACTCTGAGATGGTGCTGTTAATGTGACTTGGTTCTTAGGTAGTATCCCAGCTGGCTGCATGGAGTAGGGCTCTGCCCTCTTGCTTTTGGGGTGATAACTAAATACTGTTCTTATTCTTTCCAAAAGCTCAGTTTCGGAGGGATTCCTGTCCCGGGGAAACCAGGAACCTTTCAGAGGAAAAATTTCCATGGGTGCATTGAGAACCTTTACTACAACGGAGTCAATATAATTGACCTGGCAAAAAGGCGCAAACCTCAGATCTATACTGTGGTAAGAGACAATAATGTATGCTTTCCTTCTTTACTTCCATGCTGTTGGTGCTACCGGCTGCACTGAATGAGTGGAGTTCAGATTTCGATAGCTATGGGCATAATTAGCTTGTTAAAATGATATTGCTGAGGCTAACACCAGCCAGCACTGACTGCTGTGGTGAGAGTTATTGAAAGACACGTGTGGAAATTAATACATTTCTCTGACTTTCTAGGTGTATTATAATTTGTTTGGAGAAACTTTAATTCCTTTTCCAAGATTAAAATGTGTCGTTTTGATGGCATGATAAAAGTCAGAGACTTTTTTTTTCCCCCGGTTAACTCAGATAAAGTCTTATTTTCTGAACCATTCTCCATCACTGTTGTGGAGTACAGTAGTAGCAAAATTTTATTCTGCTATTTGAGTTGGTATCATAGAGAAGAATAAATGTTTCTTTTATTACTGGAAATATTTTCCTTTGTGCTGCCCCTTACGTTCAGTGTATTGACAGTTCTGAGAACCATTGACCTGGTACTACTGTCTCTAAATGTGGGATGGTAGAAGTAAAGCAAAAGGTCTTCTCCAGCCTGCTAACATAAAATATAAACATAACTTCGCACCTAATAATGTCCAAAATTACAGATATATTTAAATATATCACGAGCAAATAAAGAACCTCTTACTTCATAAGAGGAGGGAACAGTACACTCCTATGCAGCCTTAACAAATTTTGAATAATTCAGCTCTTTATTTAGCTTGTGCCTCACTCCTGCACCACGCTCTGATACATGCCTTTTGGTTAATATTGTGTCTTTGGAGAACGTGGAGGTGAAACTGCTTCTGGCTCTCATGGCATCTTCTAGTTTGTAGTAATGTGTATAAACAGACTGAAGCTATAACAAAGCAAGCCAGAAGACCACAAGAAGTCTTTCCTCACTTTCCCTGCCTAGGGCGAGATAGAATACAGAGGGAAATAGAAAATGGAAATGTGATGGGTGAGAAGTCCTTCACTGTGTTGCTGGCAGTCAAGACTGCCTCCAGGATGCTCCCCTAGCCTGGGACTGAGAGACTTTCCTTTAATAACCTCAAGTTTGATTGCTCTGACTCAGGACTCTAAGGCACAAATCTTATGAACTGTGTTAAATTGCTCTTCCCCTCAGCTTACTTTCTAAGGGGAGCAAAGAGCCCTAGTCTGCTTCCTAGGTCATTAAACAGCTGGTTGTTTTGCCAGCCGGGTAATGGGAAGGCCTTCCTAAAGGGGAAAAGAAAAACTTTGTAATGTGCTTTTTCTCTGAAGGGCATTGTCTGGGTATAACACAGCCCCAAGCAATGAAACTCTGTTACGACAATACTTGATTCAGCAAATGCTGGATCGAAGGCCTAGGAATCCCGCTCTTTTTGTCAATTTAAGGTAGCGGGGATGTGCCCCCATCTTTCAATCTCCCTCACAAAAATGGTGATTTTAACGCAATAGTTTTCAAAGGCTGGCTGCCGTTCTGCGTTTTGCAAGGTTTTATGAGCTGCTATGTGCTGTGTCTGTGACACTTGTGTATGTAAAGTGCATGGAAAGGTTGCCACACTCATAGCACCTCATAATCTTAGATGAACATCCTTCTATAGGAAACAGCCCCTGTAAATCTGTTGTTTTCCAGCATCCTTTCCATGACAGCTATTTATCTTCTCTAGCAACACTCAGGTACTTCCAGCTTTCACAGGCTGATCTCCCTTTCCCATCTTCCTGCTCTTCCCCACTCCTTAGCAATTTACTTACTCAAATTAAAGTAACTTGTTCTTGCTAAATGTAGTGTTTTGCCTGCCAGACTTCCTCTGCACTCAATGCTTTTACTCAAAGTTCACTGAGGTTTTTCAAGCAACAATCCATATCCCCAGGGAGCTGCAAGCTTCTCTGCTTCGCGTCTTTGTAGTTGCTAACGTTGCCTGGAGTGGAAATGTGACGAAAGGAACAGCACAGAGGAATAATTAAATATAGCAGGAACTTGGAATCACTTCTTCCAACAACATGTTTTGTACTTGTGTTCCCTCCCCACAAGCTGGAGATCACCAGAGATGGTTCTACATTGTTAGCCCCCAAAATACATTTGTCTCCTAACGAAAGATATTTGAGAACAAACTGGCCTGTTTGGGATTAGAAAGCCATTAATGCTCAGAGATGCTCGTTTTTGCCTCCGAAAGGGAGGCAGACATCAACACGCAGTCTCTGCTTCATCCTCTGTGCCTTTGTGAACATTGACACTGTTGGTGAGCCAAACTTGTGGGTTTTCATATCCATCAACTTTGGTTTTTTTTACTGTTGGCATCTTTCACACAAGCAGGAGAATGGTACATCAGCTTTGGAGGTATAGATTTCCTCTTATGAAGTAGCTCCTCATTCATACAAATAATGGTCCCAAATCAGCTGCATTTAAAGTTAGAGGACGTAACTACAGGTTGTCAATAACAGAGTGCTGTACTATGTATCATACTCTTGGGTGTTGGCTATGATTATCATTCCGCCTGTTCTTTTCTGTAACTCATTTGCAGTTGTCAGACTTGCAATAAATCCCCTTGAGAAGGCATCTCAAGATAACGAAGCCTGTCTCTTTGAACTGGAACTTGCCTTCAGAATTTCATTTTTATATTGTGTGATACTTAACCTCTCTACATGGTAGCCCTACCTATTTGGACAGACTATCTGTCTTCTCTCTGGGGCTTCTTCTGTCCCTGATGGCATGTTGTGGGTTTTTTTTGTTGTGGTTTTTTTTTCCTCCCCTAGGTCGTTGAGTGTGGAGAAATGATAGGGGATCTTTTATTTGTTCTCCGAAGTGATTACTGGTTTTAATTGCAAGAGGTTATGAGATGTCAAATTTCTGTAATTACCACTGTGATGGTCATAGGGCTGGACCCTTGGGAAACCTCAGAAAATGCTTTAAAATAGTAATCCTAAGATCTGCCCTATTTACTAGCTGTCTTCTCAGCACAAAAGGAGTGCAGACTGCTCATTATGAGAAATCGTACAGCAGTTACACTTCTTGGGCAAGTAGTTAGGGGCAGGTAAATATGCTCGTAGGAGCCACATTTATAAGAAGCTGAAGGGGAATTGTCCTTCACAGAGGGATATTTGACCTGTTGGTGTCTGGGATGGTGAAGTCCTCATTGAAGGATTTTGTGCTTGTTAAGAGTGTATGTAGATGCAGGAGGAGATGGGACAAGTTCTAGGAAGAGAAATCCATTGACAATTACTAAATATGTCTGGCTGAGGGAGTAGTTAAGAGAAGAATTGCTATAGCATCCTGAAAATAGCTATAGTATTCTGGCCACCAGTGGTTACTTACTGCTAGATTCAGGTTGCACCTTTAGAAACTGCTCTAATGTGACCTGTGACTAGGGTCTTAAGTCTTTTCTTAGAAATGAAGAGAAATGAAGAGGTCATGAAAAGATGCTGTGTTTGATCTTCTCAGTGCTCCACCCTACGTACTCACTGAAATTGAGGAAAACCCTATCCCCTTTCCCTTTTATTACCTTCGGCTAATAGGAATTGGAGTTGTATTTTTACTTAGCAGAGCAAACCCTGCACTGACTTGAGAGGAGTGCAGGATATATGTAAGGCAGAAGTTGTCAGCCCTCAGATATGTTTGAGTTTCAACGTTGGCCTGCCATGTTGAATCTGGGAGTGACAATTCAGCACAGCAAGGGATGTGGTGACATGTAAATGCATCACTGTAGTGCCTCAGGGAAATAACCAATTGCCAGCATCAAAGAGCAAGGAAAGATACCTAGTGACAGGAGAATGTAAACTAATAATTCATTCCCTTTATAGAGAATCCAAACATGCTATTTTATTAAGCTGATTTGAGATACCTTCATCCTGAGAAGAATTTACTTGTCTATGCATGTCTCATCTACCAAAGTGCTATTGCAAGTGTTGATATATCTGTGAAAATCAGGCTGGTGATTTGTGAAGGCCCCTACTAGCGTTTGGAGAACCAGGAGTTAGATACATCTTCTTTTTTTTTTTTTAATTTTATTTTTCATTAGTTTTTGCACCGCAATCAGACTATAGGAATCATAAATAAAAATGTTGGAACTATTTAGTGACATTTTTCACAACTTCCTATAGGACTAAGTTGAATTTATTAAAAAAAAAAAAAAGTTTTATACAATTATTTAATGAAAGCATGAGTCACACACACATTAAAAAGAGAACTGAATTTGCTATTCTTTAGATAAGGCAGATGAGCTCTGACTCCAGAAATATTTGGTTCCTGTAAAAATAGCGTTTTATGGTTTCTTCTGTCTTCCTGTCTGCTCTCTGGGTCTTCAGATGAGTCTCCTTCACATCCTACCTGCAGTGTGGAATAGTGAGAAAGTCTGTATAAATAGCATTCATTTTAAGGTCCCATTTTATTGTTGCTGAATGGTATAACAGGATTGTTTTGAAAGAAACTGTCAATCAAAGTATTGAAATAAAGTCTATTTAAATGACAGTTTTCCCATTGATTTCAGTTGGCTTTGTCTAAAATTCGAAAGACTTTCAGTCTGTAAATATTTAATTCAGCATGTAGATGCAATAATAAACTCTCCTTTTCTTGATATAAAAGTTTCTTTGTGTTAGGATTTCGATAGTTTTGATGACCAAAAGTGAAGCAAGTCTTTCGGGGAGAGATACCATATTTTTTTATAAGACTAATTGACATATGCAGAAAAAAATGACACGTTTTTGAGCAAACAAGGCCTTTTTGAGAGTCATCAGCCTTCAGCAAATTACAGGTTAGAAACAATTGTTCAGAGTTTAATTTATTACATTATCTGGGTAGTCAAATTGAGTGAATAGGGCAGTTAGTACCTGCTGAGCCGAAGAGGATATTTCAAGGCAGGAGGTGATAAGGCTGCTAGTCCCTGTAGGAGAGCAAGAGAGATGGCTAATTATTGTCAGGGGTTAGCAGGGGATAAGGAAAATGGGGGAGAATGTAATTTGCTGTAAAGCTAAGGCTTAAATGTCTTTTTTTTTTTTTTTTTTTAAG